ACTTGAAAACTGGGCCCATAATCAAAAATTTAAATACAGGTTTAGATTCAGCATATCAAAGAACCCCAATAATTCAATTTTTGTAAAATCAACCTTAAATTAATTTTGGACCCTTTGGACCTTAAGGTGTAATACCACCATTGATTTCCCCCTATAAGTCTTTGTTAAATTTGCACTTTTCAAAAAATTGTGCAGAATTTATCTTTGTTTCAAATAAAACAATACTTGGCACGAGTAAAGTTTTATCCTGTCCAGTACTATAGAAAAAATTTCACATAACATTTCATTGCATATTAGAAAATAACCATCACTGGAAGTTAACCAATCAAATTTTCCCCCTTTTTTAACCTGTGTACAAGCTTTAGTAACCATGCAACCTCAAGTTTCCAAAATATTCTATAGAAACCCCAAATAAAAAAATAATGGTGCTTTGAAATACCCAAGATATATGTTTATGACTCAGAAATGTTTTACTGCAATGAAATGTAGGATCAATTACCTACAACTGTCAAATTCAAGGGAATATTTTTTTTCAACCTATTTTCCTATGCAACCGGATGTGACGTACTATGATTTGGTGGTATTACACCTAAAGAAGACTTTTTTGTTAAATAAACTGAATGTGACTTTTTTCCTTTGTAATACTGGTTAGTTCAAGCATTCCTGTCAAGTTTTGTCATAATCAGTTCAATAGTTTGAGAAAAATCTAGTACATTTGTATAATGTAAGACGACATCTACAGCGATTCTAGCAAAATTTCTACGAAAAATCCAAACCAAGCCGCATCATGATAGAATATAGTGTGGACCAATAAATGATCAAATATTTATCTCATCTGCCTACAAACAGTTGAATATGATACAAAAGATGACTTTAGGATGATAATTCTAATGGACCTCTTTGTCTTCCTTATAAGGTCTCTTTTGGTCCATTTATACCTCTCATTTCCTCAAAATTTCTACTTTTTAGGCCAATAGATAAAAATTTGGGGTAACTTTCACTCATTTATGATAGAAATGTTATAATAAATGATTAATTGAAGTATTCAAGTTGAATGAACTATCCGTATAAAAGTTTACGGTCTCCAAGGAGGTTTCAATAAGTCCTTACGTAAAACTTAAATTTACGCCCTGTGTTCCAGAGAGGGACATAAAAAGCTTCTCTTTTGGTGAATAATTTGTTGTTACTGCTTTAAAAATAATTTCATTTACTTATAACTTTATATTTATTAAAGTATTTCTTAGGAATAATTTTCTAGTATAGCAGAATATAAGAAATAAGGAGAAAAAGCTCCCCAAAATTCTAAGTATGGCTTGTTCTGTCAATTAATATTCATGGTAAAGTCCTATTTCAAGGAAATTATGAGAAAATGTGTTTTGGAGACTCAATCCACTCAGAATATTTCATTATTTGTAATATTTCACTAAAATAGCAAGAAATTTTAACACATGAGAGTACTCACAAGGTCAGAGGTGCATGTACAGCTTCCCATATTAGGTGTAATACCACCATTGATTTTCCCCTATAAGTCTTTGTTAAATTTGCACTTTTCAAAAAATTGTGCAGAATTTATCTGTTTCAAATAAAACAATACTTGGCATGAGTAAAGTTTTATCCTGTCCAGTACTATAGAAAAAATTTCACATAACATTTCATTGCATATAAGAAAATAACCATCACTGGAAGTTAACCAATCAAATTTTCCCCCTTTTTTAACCTGTGTACAAGCTTTAGTAACCATTTTGTAAAAGTTGGAGGGATTTCGTTGATGCAAACTAAAGTTCGAGAACGGAAATCAACTTTGAGACATAGTGACGGTCAGACAAGGGTACAACTTAATTCCCCCTCCGCTATGACCGGGGCATAAAAAGACAAAACACAAAAATTAACTTAAAACACTGAACCTTGATAATGATGTCAAAGTCAGAGGCACAACATCATGCATCTATATACAAAGTATGAAACATCCAGGTCTTCAGCCTTCTAAAATATAAAGCTTTTAAGCTTTTGACTTCAACATAAATGGTTCATCTGAAACTGACCTAATCACAAACTTGTACATGTAAACTAAGCAAATGTTCCATAGTAATTGGACCATGACTGAGGGGGCTTGGACAAATAATCTACGGTACATGTAAATGAGATACGTCAATACTTATACAACAGCATATATACATAAAAGATGTGGTATGATTGCCAATGAGACAACTCCCCACAAGGGAGCAAATGACACAGAAATTAACAACTATACTAAGGTCACCGTAGGATCTTCAACAATGAGCAAAGCCCATACCACAGTCGGCTATAAAAGGCCCTGAAATGACAAATGTAAAACAATTCAAACGTGAAAATTAACGGCCTAATTTATGTACAAATAAACAGCTGTGCCATTAGCACATAATACGCCCGTCACATTTTCAAAGAATAAAGTTCAATAACTTCTCAATGTTATATTAGAAGTTTATAATCAAAAGGGAACTTACATCAATAGATATAAACAATTCACCAAAGTTTCATGAGAATAGGGGAAAGCATTTTTGTGTGATTGTTCGAAAACGGGAAAATCCCCCCTTTTTAATTAATAAAGCCCCATAACTCGGAAATGTAAAACCTAAAATCAATAAAATTCTAAAGGGTGCTTCACAATTAACAATTCACCAACGTTTCATGAGAACTGCTGAAAGCATTTTTGAGTTATTGTCAAAAAACTGGAGAATCCTCCTTTTTTTATGAAAAATTTGAAAGGGTTCCGCGCAACCCAGTGTCTCGCCTACTTTTGCTGTTAGTCGCAGGCTCAACAAAAATGGGGAAAAAAAGTATTAAAACTTTTCCTCTAGATACTATCTTTTGATTGTAAGAAGTTCTGTTCAAGTAAAAATCCAAGAAGGTTTATGAATCTAATAAATGATTTAAAAACTTTAACTGCAGACTGTACGTTATGTTAACTGGAATAAAACTAAGTCCATTTATAAGCAATATATGGAAAAACAGGAAATAAATTTTTACAAAATTTCCTTCTAGATACTAGCTTTTGATCATAAACAAGCTTCTGTCCAAGTGTGGTACAAATCCAGGATAGTTTAAGAAAATTATTAAAATTTTGAAAGCTTTAACCACAGAGTGAATGTAATGTTAACTGGCAGAAAAACTAAGTCCGTTTATAAGTAAAATACGGATAAACCGGATTTTATTTTAACAAAATTTACTTTTGAATACTATCTTATGATCACAAACAAGCTTCTGTCCAAGTGTGGTACAAATCCAGGATAGTTTAAGAAAGTTATTAAAATTTCAAAGACTAACCACAGAGTGAATATTTGTGGACGCCGCCACCGATGGAATGTAGGATCGCTATGTCTCGCTTTTGCGACAAAAGTCGCAGGCTCGTCAATAAAACACTGTAACTCGGAAACGTAAAATCTAAAAATTTTAAAATTGGAAAGCTCATATCAATAGATATAAACAATTCATCAAAATGTCTTACAAGTTGGTTAAAGCATTCAAGAGTTATTGCTGTAAATGGAAAATCCCCCTTTTTATAATGAATAATATCCCATAACTGGGAAACGCAAAATCTAAAATTTATAAATATAAACTGTTATCACAGAGATATGTCTTGCCTTTTTGTAATTTTGATAATGCAAATGTTGAAATTAAAATAGCAATACTTTAACATGTAAGTTATGGAAATATTCAAAGTCGATGAACAATGACTGAAGGTACATGGCTAAACAATCTCCATGGAATGAGATGTGCCAATGCTAATACAACTGCATACCAAATACCATTGACTTATTATAAGTCGTTCCCTTTAAACAAACCTAAACACAAACATTAACTTGTAAACTATGTAAAAGTTTTAAAGTCAATGAACCATGATCAGGGGTGGGGCTATATAATCTCCATGGAAACGATACTTGCAAATGCCAATAAATTTGCATACCAAATATCATTGACTTAACATTAGCAGTTCATCTTAAACTGATCTAATCACAAACTAATACATGTAAACTAAGCAAAAGTTTCAAAGTAAATAGACCATGACCGAGGGGGCAGGGCCAAATATTTTCCATGGAAATGAGATGTGCTAATGCTTATACAACTGAACACCAATTAAAATTGGCCTACCACTAATGGTTCCCCTTGAACTGACCTAATCACAAACTAATACATGTTAACTTAACAAAATTTAGAAAGTCTATAGACCATGACTAAGGGGGCGGAGCCAAATAATCTCCATGAAAATGAGATATGGCAATGCTTATACAACTGCATATCAAATATCATTGGCCTACCACTAATGGTTCCCCTTGAAGTGACCTAATCACAAACTAATACAGTTAACCTAACAAAATTTTCAAAGTCTATAGACCATGACTAAGGGGGCGGAGCCAAATAATCTCCATGAAAATGAGATAAGCGTATGCTTATACAACTGCATACCAAATATCATTGACCTACCACTAATGGTTCCCCATAAATTGACCTAATCACAAACTAATACATGTAAACTATGAAAAGTTTCAAAGTCAATAAAACCTGACTGAGGGGGCAGGGCCTTAATCACAAACTAATACATTGTTGAAGCCGCCGCCGCTGACGCCAGAAACAGCATACCTATGTCTCAATTTTTGACTCCGTAAAGGCGAGACAAAAACTAAAGGCAGCTCACGTCAATATATATAAACAACTCAAAGTTTTGTGCAAATTGGTTTAAGGGTTTTTGAGTTAATGTCTGACATGTTGACGGACAGACAGACAATGGTATACCATAATACATCCCGTAAACAGGCGTATAAAAATGAACAAAAACACACCCATTATCATCGATCCACTAAGGAGGCCTATATACAGTTTAGGGATGGAGGGAGTAGTATGTTCAAATTAACATGGCCAAGCAAAAATGCTTATACATCTTATTTCTATATCAAATAATTATTAAAGCATTATTCTTTATAGCTTACAATGTAGAGTGGGTTTTGCTCATTGTTAAAGGCTATACACTGTTTTGGTGGAGAGTTGTCTCATTGGCAATTATATTACTTGTGTCCTTAGAAAAATTCTCTGCAGATTGAAACTTCATATGCCTTCAATGATCTTTTATCAACATGTACAAATATATTTATTTTTACTTTTAGGGATGCCTCAAAAAAAGCAATACCTGCAGGAGTCTCTTGATAAACCTATTGGTGCAGTGAATTCTAATAAATTAAGCATATCAAAAGCAGCTACAGAATATGGGGTTCCGCGAACAACTATATCCGACCATGTCAATGGAAAATACGACAATCATTTGAATGGGCCTTCAAAGATGCTCACAGACGAGGAAGAGACATCCTTAATCAACTATGTCAAGTATATGGCTGAAAGGGGTTTCCCATTGACAAGAAGGATGTTAAAGGCATTTGCTATTTCAATCGTGGAAAAATCAGGCAGGAAAACTCTTTTTAATATGGACAAAGGTCCTAGCAACAAATGGATCAACAAACTCCTGAACAGACACCCTGAATTGTCTGAAAAACTTCCTGAACAGCAGGACAAAGCAAGGAGGCGTATGTCAAATGTCACCGTCGTGGATCAATACTTTAAATTGCTCATGGACACAGTTGACAGCTTAGGTTTGACCAATAAACCAAACCAAATCTTCAATTGTGATGAATCTGGCTTTAGTGGAAAAGAAAAAAGTAAAGAAAAAGTGTTAACAACGAAAGGGTCCCACAGCTATCAACAGAAAGTGATGGTGCATGGTCACATCACTGTACATATGTGCATAGCTGGTGATGGACATGTCCTTCCGTCTTTTATTATTTTTGATGGTTGCCTGCCTCATAGGAACTTCAAAGATGGTGTTCCCGATAACTGGCTGTATGGCTCATCTGAATCCGGGTATATGGATACTGAGTTGTTCGAGAACTGGTTTGACCAAGTGTTCATTCCATTCTGTGGCACTAGAAGACCAGTGCTGTTGATATTTGACAATCATGACTCACACATCAGCATTGACTTGATAGAAAAGGCCAAGGCAGACAATATTCATATTATTGGTTTACCACCACATACCACACATCTTCTGCAACCACTTGATGTTGCCATCTTTGGACCTTTGAAAGAAAAGGTTAACCAGTTAGCAGTGACCGTAGGGAACCTCAACAAGTCTGCCACCATAGGCAAAGCCAAGTTTCCTGCTTTATTAAGGTATTTACATATGCTATGATATGTTTTAACTATTTTTTTTGGTACAACTGAATTTTGTAATTGCACTGGAAAATTATCATTCAACAATTCAAATTAATTTATGAAATTTTATTTTTATTTGTAGAAATAATTAATATTTGTATAAACTTTTCATTTCAATGAATAATTAAATAACAGATTATAAGGTAATATTTTTCATAATATCAAAATACAAATTTTGTTTCACTAAGAGTGTTCAACTCATAATCATACTTTAGTTAATAGCTGTATCCAATCAATAATTGTCTGTAAGAAAATAACATGCAAATGTAGAAAATTCAAATGAAACTAAATAAAATGCTCCGCTGGGTGTAGCTTGATACGACCGCAGAGGTCGAACCCTGAACAGTTGGGGCAAGTATGGACACAACATTCAAGCTTGATACAGCACTGAATTTGGATTGTGATTAAATATTTGACACAGCATAGGTTTCTGACACAGAATGAATGTGGTCTAAGAACTTAAAAAATTTTAATTTACCTATTCAAACCATATCATTATTATTTGCTTTTATATATATAAATCAGAAATAACCAATTTAAAATGGAAAATTTTAAAGAAAAAAAAAGAAAACTAGAGGCTCTAAAGAGCCTATGTCGCTCACCTTGGTCTATATGCATATTAAACAAAGGACACAGATGGATTCATGACAAAATTGTGATTTGGTGATGGTGATGTGTTTGTAGATCTTACTTTACTGAACATTCTTGCTCCTTACTATTATCTCTATCTATAATGAACTTGGCCCGGTAGTTACAGTGGAAAATACTTTGTAAAAATTTACAAAAATTTACAAAATTTATGAAAATTGTAAAAAATTGACTATAAAGGGCAATAACTCCTTAAGGGGTCAATTGACAATTTTGGTCATGTTGCCTTATTTGTAGATCTAACTTTGCTGTACATAATTGCTGTTTACAGTTTATCTCTATCTATAATAATATTCAAGATAATAACCAAAAGCTGCAAAATTTTCTTAACATTACCAATTCAGGGGCAGCAACCCAACAACGTGTTGCCTGATTGGTCTGAAAATTTCAGGGCAGATAGATCTTGACCTAATGAACAATTTTATCCTCATCAGATTTGCTCTAAATGCTTTGGTTTCAGAGATATGAGCCAAAAACTGCATTTTACCCTATGTACTATTTTTTAGCCATGTCGGCCATCTTGGTTAGCGGGCGGGGTCATCGGACACATTTTTTAAACTAGATACCCTAATGATGATTGTGGTCAAGTTTGGTTAAATTTGGCCTAGTGGTTTCAGAGGAGAAGATTTTGTAAAAAGCTAACGACGACGGACGACGGACGCCAAGTGATGAGAAAAGCTCACTGGGCCCTTCAGGCCAGGTGAGCTAAAAATGCTTATTTTTGGCCCCTTATTCCTAAACGTTTTGGGCAATTACCCCAAAACTCAATTCCAGCTTTCCCTTTGTGATATAGAACCTTGTAGTACAATTTCAAAGAGATCCATACACAAACACACTAGTTATGTCTGGAAATTACAAAAATGCTTATTTTTGGCCCCAAATTCCTTAACTGTTGGTTCCATAACACCTCCAAATTCAATCCCAACCTTCCTTTTGTGGTATTGAACCTTGTTGTAAAATTTCATAGAGATCCATTCACTTAAACTAAAGTTAGAGTGCGAAAACGAATGTGTCTACGGACTATGACGCCAGCGTCATACCAATATATGACCGCAAAATTTTTTTTTGCAGTTGTATAAAAATAAGTGCCAAGGACTTATGCCACAACTCAATCTTTGAAAAGAATATGACAGACAAACAAAACAAAGATGGATTATCGCAAGCCGTTCTCGTCAAAACTATGTTTAAACCATTTACGAAACATTGACACACTGAGAATTAAAAACCTAAAAATACACACTGAAAATAAAAAATTCGTAAGGGTTCCTCGGAACCCAGTGTCTCGCCTACTTTTTCTGTTAATCGCAGGCTCAACAAAAATGAGGAGGTAAATCAATAAAAATATTCCTCTTGATACTATCTTTTGATTGTAAGAAGCTTCTGTCCAAGTTTGGTAAAAATCCAGGATAGTTTATGAATCTAATAAATTTTTAAAAACTTTAACTGCAGACTGAATGTAATGTTAACTGAAAGAAAACAAAATTTCCTTCTAGATACTAGCATTTGATCATAAACAAGCTTCTGTCCAAGTTTGGTACAAATCCAAAATAGTATAAGAAAGTTATTAAAATTTTAAAAACTTTAACCACAGAGTGAATATGTTGTTTCTTGGCAGAAAATCTAAGTCCATTTAAAAGTAAAATACAGAAAAAATGGATTTATTTTTTCACAAAATTTCCTTCTAGATACTAGCTTTTGATCATAAACAAGCTTCTGTCCAAGTTTGGTACAAATCCAAAATAGTATAAGAAAGTTATTAAAATTTTTAAAACTTTAACCACAGAGTGATTGTGTTGTTTCCTGGCAGAAAAACTAAGTCCATTTATAAGTAAAATACGGAAAAAATGGAATTTTATTTTTACAAAATTTACTTCTGGATACTATCTTATGATCATAAACCAGCTTCTGTCAAAGTTTGGTACAAACCCAGGATAGTTTAAGAAAGTTATTAAAATTTTAAAAACTTTAACCACAGAGTGAATGTAATATTTCCTGGCAGAATAACTAAGTCCATGTATAAGTAAAATACGGAAAAAATGGAATTTTATTTTTACAAAATTTACTTCTGGATACTATCTTATGATCATAAACAAGCTTCTGTCCAAGTTTGGTAGAAATCCAGGATAGTTTAAGAAAGTTATTAAAATTTCAAAAACTTTTAACCACAGAGTGAATATTTGTGGACGCCGCCGACGGAATGTAGGATCGCTATGTCTCGCTTTTTCGACTAAAGTCGAAGGCTCGACAAAAAGTACACACAGATTACAAAAACTGAAAAACACACACTGAGAATTGAAAATTACACAGAGATTTCAAAAAGACACACTGAGATGAAATAAACTGAAAAACACATACTGAGAATTTGAAATTACACACTGAGAATTTAAAATTAAACACTGAGATTAGTGCGCACTTTTTATGCGCACATATCTAATTAGCATACTTAATCTGAATCTATTACAAGCTTAAAACAACTAGGGGACAGAACTAGTTAGTCCTTCAATTATGCGCCAAATGTTTTATAAATAAATGTGGATAGTGTGCACATATGGACACAGATGATGCCCCCGCTTGCATATCATATAGTTCAAAAGGGACATAACTGAAGAACGGTAAAAGTGACGCTACCCAAATTTATACTTGATCTGAGTTTTGTGGTAATAAGCATTGTGTGTAAGTCTCATAACATTTGGTTGAGGCTAACTTAAGTAGAGAACAGAAACTAAAAATTCAGCAATTTTTATGTTTATAAAGGGACATAACTCAAGAATGGTACAAGTGTAACCACCAATTCAGTACTTAATCTGTATTATGGCAGATTTTACAGTATTGTGTTCTGCCTCCTACTTCCATGATAAATAATTAAAGAAGGCATTACACGAAAAAAAAATATATTTTCTGAAAATTTACTATCAGTAGATCATAATTCTTCAAAAAAGGAGTAAATAATGTAAGAGATTATTGAATGGTTGCCAAGGAAACAGGATACCCACATTTTCTCCTTTTGCACCCTGGTCCAAAATTTCATTAATTTTGGTTTAAAGCCTTTAACTAGCAATAAAACCAAAATAAATTCTGAAAGGTAAAGGGTTTAGGAAGATATTCAGCATCTTTCACATTACTATTTCTAATATATTAGTGGAAAAAAAATATGTTTAAGATGATGGACATGTGACATATGGAAAATGGGACAAAAGTTTATGTTTTTCAAAGTAAATGACATCTAATACACAGTAAAAAGAATTGAATAAGTATAAAGTTGCATGTGTTGCCAATATTTACTTTTTACTAGTTTAATTTGTGCCAGATTCTTAAAAGAAAACATGTTTTGAATTAAAGCTGTTGCTAATGTGACGGAGACAAAAATGAGTAACGTTAGCGACATTTGGACATGTCACATTAGCAACAGCATCTTTAAAAAATAAAAGGTATGCACACAGTCGTGCTTTATAAATGCTTTGAGTAATTAAATTGTACAGTCTGGTTTAGAATATCTAAATATACAGAATGTCATTGGCAGGTGTACTTTGTATCAAATGAATACACAAGAAACCAATTTGTAATAGTAACATTAGCAACATCTTCTTCAGTAATACATTAAGAAAATTTGCTATCTAGATGGGTCGCACTAAATAGGGCCAAAATTGTTACAGGAGGTGAAAAATAAGATTCAGGATATCTTTATCGAAAAAGTTTTCAGATGTAACTGAATGATTCTTCTAGATCTGTTCATATCTTTAGTCGTGAACTGAGATGTTGATATGATATGAGTACCAAATGCAATAAGAACTGTTCTTTGTACCAGACTGACACACCAGATTTTATGGATAGATGGATTAATTATTGTTTAACGTCCAGTGTCAACCTAGTATGTGCACATCAGGACGAGAACAAGTTGATGTAATATGATCTCTGCTTTGTACTAGACCGACACGCTTAGATGGATTTTCCACAAAGACACATTATACAGACTCTGTTGCCTCTGTAAGCTGACCTTTGCTTTTACTCCTAGATGCTTTTGGCTTGGATGAGAAGCAGCAAAGACCCAATTTTAATGTCTTATTTTATCTGGCTACGAATTTAACCTGCAACCTTTGGCACTCAAAACAGAAAGGGGATATGGATTATTTATGAAGCACAAGCCAAAATGCCCATGTAATGTCTACCAAGAAACATCAAACAACAGAAGAATGAACAATTTCAAATCAATTCGCAGTGAAGATGGAAATACCATAGTGATCAATGCCTCAATGACTTTCACCATGGATTTTGGTAAAGAAAGTCTGTTGTAGTCTTCAGAACACCTTGCTTTGCCCATTTAATTCATGATGCATTTGCATTCAAAAGTCGAAAATACTGCCTAGACTAAGAAGCTTAAAAATATTTTAATGTTTGAAAAATTTATCGTCTCTGTTAGTTCTGGAGGACTGCATCTGAAAGAAAATAAATTGAAAATATTACTGGTATATGAATACAATTTAAAAAATGAACAACTATTAAAATTTTTAAAATGTATTGAAGTACTGCCTTCAAATTTACTTCAATCAAGACATAGTTTTTTGCCGAATGCTTTCAGTATATATGGTAATTAAAGATATGTTGTCATCATTAATTATAGCTAGAACAGTTCAAGTTACCATCTTCTTTTAATGATTACCCGAGATTATGCTAAGATACCCCTGAAAATCAAATGTATGTTTACCATTTGGTAAATTTGTCTGTGAGCAATGACTTTTATGCCAATTTTGACAATTTTAAGAACTGGACTAATTTTGGCAATTAATGAACTAAGTTGTTATTATAAAAATAGAAGATGTGGTATGAAGCTCTTCGAAAAGGAAAGACTATTACCTTCAAATATATATAGTAATGAGCGCCCCTTCATTACTATATTAGACTGTTTTAATTTTCTTATATAACATCACATCAACAATATACTGTCCCAAAGTAACGATCGCTACATAAAAATCTGTCCATGTTATACCGTTCGCATCAAATTATTAAAAGAAATGTATTTTGATGAACTAGAAGACTCAACTGTACGTAAAATATGGTCAAATCTCGTTGGGAGATGAAAAACCAAAACAAAAGTTTCTTAATGTGACATTTAAATGACATTACTTGATTCAACGTTTTGTTGCGAATGTCTTTTTGATGGACGGAATACAATAAAGGACCTCGTGTAACGATATAACAGACAACTTACCTTCTTTGCTTTCCCATTATGTGAGGGAACCGGCTCCGCATCCATTTCTGCAAAGGGCGATATCGTAACTCCTATACAGGAGAGTTACAGATCTAAATATATATTGCTCACGTGACATTGATTTGGACGGAAACGTAGAGCAGTAACGTTCGCAAAAACTAAAACAGCCAATGATATTGATTCCGAAAGTCCTTTGACCCCCTTTCGTCATCAAAATTTAATGTGATTGCTATTTATATCAATTATTTATAAAACCCGAGTTAAAAATAACAACGGGCCGTCTGAGAACCAACAAATAAATTGCGATCGTAACATACCACAATGGACGAAAAAGATGTGACGTTCGCAATAATATTATTAAATTACCTTTTTTAGCCTTTACCAATAAAAATGTGCCTTAGAATTATAATTAAAACACAAAAGAATACTTTTTATTAAAATATAAGTCCATGTTATTAGGCTCCACTTAAAAATAATACTTTAAAATTCCACTCCAAATAAGCTAGATGTCAGTCAAGTAGGTCACAATGTCTATTCAATGTCCAATATTTTGAAATTGAAAACCCACTAATTCTAACAAAAAACATAAA